ACTCACCCCGACTTCTCCCACCCCCAGGTCCCACTCTCCTTCCCCTGGAGCCTCAGCTCTAGCCACAGTAGTCCTCAGAGTTCCCAGGCATGCTCCTGCCTCAGACACCTGCCCTGTCCTCTGACTGGAACTTTCTACCTTTAGCTATCCCACAGGTCCTTCAGATCTTAATTCCAATGACAGCTTCTCAGCAAGGCCTTTCCTGGCTACCCGACCTCAATCTGCCACCACCCCCAACCCCACAAATGCTCTCCCTAACTCATTTTCTCCCTAATGTGCACACCACAAAACACACTGTCTACTTCACTTCTTTCTTTTATCTCTTGGCTCCTAAAACCAGAAGGGAAGTCCAGGAGAGCAAGCATCCTCTCCTGCTGGTTCCAGAAGATATCCTCATGCTTAGAATACAGGAGACGTTCAAGAGATATTTTCAAGTATATTTGAGGCTCAATTTATATCATGCCTCCAAACAAGAAGTCCAAACTGATAGCAAATAATGCTACTGGGTTACCTTAGGATAGAAATCTAAGGTTCCTGGCCCTATTTTTCTCTTCGTAATATTCTTTCAAATGTTTCTCACGGACACTAAAATTCTGAGTAATCTCAGAATAAATACCATTGAATCAACCAGCCAAATACACGAACCACCTCAAGAAGCTTTGCATTCGTTCCCCCTCCTACTTACACACACACCCCATAAAAGAGAAATGAGTCTGTTTACCATCTGGGCTTTCAGACAAATCAATCACCTGTGTGTTCAACAGGTGTATTTACTGACCAATTTCAGAATAAGCACTTTAGGAATGAGGCAGGTGGGGAAAGACAGTGTTTGCCCCATAGAAAAGTCAGCTTATTCTCTTCCTGAATAAGCCAGCAGGCCCTTCTCTAATGAAAAATAGAACCCACTGCCACTAACACTACACCAGATAAGGCAACTGATATGGGGCTGTTTCAATACACTACCTACACAGTCCTAAAAATGCACCTCCAAACAGAAACAGCCGCACCTAGCCACACAAGAGAAGCCCCTGAGGAGCAACTGCAAGTACCTTCCCGACACAGGTGAACCCCAATATTTTAGGGTTGTCAAGGCACTTAAAAATCACCTAGTCTTCCCTTCCCCTTCCCTTTAATTTTAAAGATGAAGAAGCCAAGACAAGTTACTGTGGGCAGATGGCCAATCAGGCCATACAACCCCTAAGTGGCAAAGCCAGACCCAGGACCCAAGCTCAGATCTTCCACAACCAACCACCTACCGACAATAGTGAGTTCAACTTCAAATGGTCAGTCTATATGAAAAACATGTACTCATACCCTGCAGAGATGTGGGTATATTTTCTAGAACATGCTATTTTCCATACTCTAGGGGAAATGAGATATGTTGGGAAAGTCATTCTGTCTGTACCAGGTATTGAGGCCTTATCTAGTCACATGCATTTCATAGCCTGGGAACTGAAGAAGTGACTTTCATGAGTCTGGGCTACTTCACAGCTATCACACCAAAGCTTTCTTCCAATCCATACACTTCTCCAAATGGCATACATTAGGTTTCTGTTCTAACAGAAGTCACTGAATGCTATCTACAGCAGAAATGGCCCAAACAGGCTCAGCAAATGTGCCAACAGAAATGTTTACCATTCCTAATTTGCTGTTACACAACATTTATTTGCTCTCACCGTGTGCCAAGGATCTGAAAACATGTTGTTGATTAATAAACAGTAATTAAGTCTCACCACCTAATTCAGAGCTCTGGTTAGGTTCTGGGATTCCCTTTTAAAGAAGGCCAAAGTGAAGGCCATGAGTTGAAAGGTTTTTTCCAAAGGCCTGACTCAGAGATGCATCAGCCAGCTCAGGCCCAGGCCACAAAGCCTGTTCCTTTCCCCTGTTATGCTCTTTGCTTCCTCAAGGTCTTTTCCACCCTCCTGGGCCAATCCTCACTTCCATTTCGGCCCCACTCTCCAGCAGCATCCCTCTAACCACACTGACCAAATGGCTTGACCCTTAGCTTCCAACAGTAAATGTTCTGCAAGGAAAGATACCTGGATGCAGCAGCCAAATATCAGATTACACAGGCTGGCAAGGTGAGCGCTCCTCGGGTTTTACAGTGCTTTATTTCAAAAGCGGTTTAACACTGTAAGCTGACAGCCTTGCTTCTTGGGGCTTTCCTGCCTTAGGATCTTACAGACATATGGTGAAGGTGTGACAAACAATGTGATTGGAACTGCAGAGGTCTTTGGGAAATGGACTCCAATTACAATTGTTGATGCCTTTGACTCATGCCAGACTTCATTACAAATAGGATAAAAGACCAAACTCAAAACTCACTCAATGGGCTTGGGTTGTAGCTCAGTGGTAGAGTGCTTACCTAGCAAGGGTGAGACGCTGGGTTCAATCCTCAGCACCACATATAAATAAATAAAATAAAAATATTGTGTCCACTAGAAAAAAAAAAAACACTCCAAAGGCATAGGAAGTGACCTTCCTATTAAGACTCAGGCCCAGGTCCCTAGACTTGACCCAGGTGAAATGGACATACTGAACTTGGGATCACTTCCAACAAATCCAAGGAGACAAAATGATGCTGATAATCTAAAAGCTTTGAAATTCTTACATATTTAGATAACAGGTTGTCCCTTATGTTTTACTTGCATTAATATTATAGTTATTTCTCAAATACTAAAGTTAAGTCATTTTTTTTTCCTATGCTAGGAATCAACCCAGGACTTCATGCATGGGCTCTACCACTCACCCACATTCCCAGCCCAAGTCAAATTATTATTAAACATCTGCTAAAAGTGATTCAACTCCATATAGGTAATCAAGAGTTGCTCTGCCTAGCCCTGAATATCAGTTCCACCACCTAATAGCTAACTCATATTTTCCAGGTCACTTAATCTCTCTGATGTCTCAGTTTTCTGAAACACAAATTGGGGATAATAGTAAATACCTGCATTATAAGGTCACTGTGAGATTTAAATGAGTTAATACACACAAGGCATTTAGAATAAATGCCTGGTACTTGGTATCTTGTCGCCCATGGTTACCATTACTATTATGTCATTGAGTAAAAAAAACATCTTGAACATTTTATTTCATTCTTCTAGGACCCCTGCCAGCACTACAGTGGGAAGTTTCTTTGCCAAGAATTATTTCCAAGGCAGAAGGTGACACTTTGGGGGGCCTAGAAGAAATCCATATCCAAAACTTACCAGAATGGGGTCAGAGTCCAGGAAGCTGTTTGGCCAGAGCTAAGTCCAGCACCAGAAGGCAACCACCCCTCCTTCCCAGAGGCAGAAGCCACCCGCAGTCATCCTCAAACAGCAGGCTACAGCAGGAGCCACTCAAGGGAGCCACAGCTCACTGAGCTTCAGCAGCCTGGCCACTGATCTGCCTGCCAGGAGACTGCAGGCAAAGGGGCCCAGGTGGGTAAAAGCCATTAAAGTGACACATTCACACATGATAGGACTCCTCTTTCTCCAGTCCCCTCATCTTGATGTCACACAGTGAGTTTCTGGATAGCAAGCAAAAAGCACAATTCTAATTTCACAGTGACTAGAGTTTCCCAGAGTCACAACCCCAAATGTGAATAAACCTTAATTAACCCCTTATCTTGGAAACCCCTCTTTATTAAAAACCTAAGCACTTTCTGATTTCATTTCGACAAAGACGGCAAGTCAGTGCCCACAGGTGCCCTCCCAAAATGCAGCAGCCACAGCACCTAGACTCTGTTCCAGTCCTTGGCACACTGGCTTCCCCAGGAATCTGAAACCTGGTTGGGAATGCCGCCTTCACAACTTCTCTCTGGGGGATCCACTGCAGATGTGGGGGTGGGGTGAGGAATATGACTAACAACTGCAGTGGACCCTGAGCTCACGGCAGAAGATAATGTGGGTATGAAAACAGGGTCTGGAAAGGCAAGCCAAACACAGAAACAGTAAGGGGTGGGGGGTTGAGGGGAGGTGGGGGAAGGAAGAACAGAAAAGAAGAGTACCACCCGGCAACACTGATTTATCCATGCAACACCTCTTTCCTGATTAAATCAACACTTCCCGACCCCCTACACAATGTTCATTTCTTACAGCACGTGTATGAATATATATGCACTGACAGACACGGATGACAGCAGAAACGGAGCACATGGGGGTTGGGGGGACAACTTGAACTTCAGGCTCATTCAGCAGTGTCTGATTCTCTTTCACTATCAGCCCCTCTACGTAGAATCTGAAGCGCTCCAAAACAAAACAAAAACCAACTCATGGGCAGGAAAGGAACCGAGGCTGAACGGAGCAGCAGCACATGCTTGGAGCACTGATAACCATCGACTTCTGATTATTTCTGCTTTCTTGAGATGCAGCCACCAGCATCGGACTAAATGTAGTGCAGGAGAGAATCGCCCGGTACAGAGACACTCGCAGACCCTCCCTTGGGGACACGCACCCCAGCGCGAGAGGCTGAGCCCGTGTGAAATGTACAATCACTCTGCCCACATGTGACCCTGAACACTGCGAAATTCTTCCACAATCGCGAGGCCATCCAAAGTCTTGCCTACACCTAGTACGTGCAGATGTTAATTTCATGTGAATACATGATGTAAGGACAGAAATGGGAATTTTCTCGTGGCCACGACTCTCTCCATACACATGGTGAGTAAATGCACACAGCCAGTAAACAGCGATATCCACCATGCTCAGCCCACAGTCACGCGTGGGGAGAAAGCGGTGGCGAGGGCGGCGGTGGCAGAGGAAGTGGAAAGTCGCCCGCTCGCGTGGGCTGTCCTCCGAGAGCCCGAGCTCCCCCTCCCCCGCACAGGAGCTGTGCCACCTCTGGGGCGCAGACCCACGACGCGGAGGTCGCGCTGGGGGCTCCGCAGAGAACCGGACAATGAGGATGCCGTGACAAGCCGGGATCCTGCCGCGGTGGCGGTAGTGATGGCAGCCGGAGCTGCTTGTGCAGCCGACACCGCGGCCACCTCCACCCTCTTCTCCCCAGCGTCCACTTACGTCCCGAGGGTCTCCTTGAACTCGAAGATCTTCTTAATGTCTTCGGCTTGCTTTTTCCAAGATGAGCTGCTCTCGCCGTTCTCCCGGGCCATGGCAGACGAGCGCGGCGCGGCGCGGTGGGGCGGCCGGGGGCGCGCTGGGGAGGGGGCGCCGGGGGCGCGGCGCGGGCGCAGGGGCGCGCGGGGATGCCGGGCGCTAGGCGGGAGGCTCGGGGCCGCCGCAGAGCTTCCTCTTCTGCAGTTTCCTCTTTCGCTCTCGCCGCCGCCGCTGTCGCGGTCCCTCCCTGGCTCTTATTTCTGCTCGTTTCGGTCAGAGACTTCCTGCCGCCGCTGCTCGCCTGCTCCTTTGCCGCCGCCTGCCAGCCTCACTTTCTGCTACTTTCTTGCCTCCCTCCTGCTCCCTCCCCGCCTCCCGCCCCGCTTCCCCCCCCACCCCGCCTCCTCCCGCGGGCTCCCCGCCCTCCCCGCGCGCCCCGGCCGCCTCCCCGCCTCCCGCGCTACCGCCTTCGGGGATGTCCCGCTCCCCTCCCGGGGAGCGCCGTGCACTGGGCGCGGGGGCGCCTCACTTGGCAGCCAGGCCACACTCCCCCGCGGTCAAGCGCCCTGGAGCTGAGCAAGGGCAGGGGCGGGGACCCTGGCAGGTGCAAGGCGCTGGGGCGCTCGCGGGAGAGCCCTACTCCTGGAGGAGCTTTATTGTGGAGTCAAGACTGGGGGCACCCGGGCTTTCCCTCCTCCAGCGGGAGGGGGCGCCTTTGCGTGGCGCTCGGAAGCGCCGGGAGAGATGGGGGTGCGCAGCGGCCGGATACCGGGCGCCCAGGGCGGGGAGCCTTTTCCTAGCGCCCGGGACCAGCGGCCGGAGTCGGCCAGGCCCGCTGACAGGCGGGTGGGCGGGGGCCGGTTGTTATGGCGACGGGCGGCGGCGGTGGGGATGGAGGCGTTGATGGGCGTGGACTCCGGCCCCGCGGCGCGGGCCAGCGCGGGCTCTCCCCGAGCTTGTCACTCCCCTCCCGACTTGCCGGCTAGAGCTAATTCGCATTGCACCAAATTCAGCCTCACGTCAATTTCGGTATCGCGGAGGAGAAAGCCTGGGAGTCTCGGGAACGGGCACGCGCAGGACGCGCCTGCCACTGCCTCTTGCAATCCCTTTGGAAGCAAAACTCCTGGGTTTATTTGGTGGCCGTGCGGCGGGTGGATGCGGGACAGCGCGGGCTGTCCTGGCCCGGGCCTGGAACAGCGAGCCTAGCTCACGGTTGTACTCTACTGGTTTCTCCCACTCGCCTCACGACACTCTGCGGACTCAGCACGAAGTGAATGTCTGCCCCACACTCTCCATGAAGGAGGTCTGCCCCTACTTACCACCCCCACCGCGATCCCCGCAGTCTTATGGGGAGACCAGATGGCGGGCACGCACTTCGAAACATCCTTTCCTTCATGTTGGAGAAAGTAACCCAAAGAATTGCCTCCTGCCTCCCATGTCCCATGTGAACTTTGGCCTGCCCACCCACTCCCGCTGTCTACCTGTCAGAGGGCAGCCCACGTGCTGGTTCCCTAGATCCCTGGCCCTCAATCAGCAAGGGACTACCTTTTGATGGGAAATTTTTAGTTTTAGTATCAAGACTTCCCATCCCTTAGGGCCCCTGTGCCGAGTTAGGTAAACAGCCACCGTCTCTTGATTGGGGACACCTGTCCCATTTTCCCAGGACTGTTCCAATTTCCAATTTCACTGTAAAGGTGAAAAGAAAATCTGCTTTTGGAAAATGAAACTTAATCCAGCAACTTCTGCGTGGTTCTGACTGTGGACTGACTTCAAATCCTTTGTTGATCCCAAGAAGGTCAGAAGCCAGCTGGACCTCCCTTCCCTGACACTTCTGGTTTTAACCTAAGGCTCTCCAAACTGAGGAAAGCTAAGAGGGATTATAGCCACACATGGCTTTAGGACTGGATATGTACTGAGAAATGCATAGTTAAGTGAGGTGTGAACAATACAGATTGTAGTTACACAAACCTAGATGCTGTAGCCTACTATACACCTAGGCTATATGGTATATATTTGCCTAGGGGCAAAATGAACAAAACAAGATTAAATCACACACGGGAGAAAATGATGCAGCTAAAGACATGGCAAATATGAGATATCCAAGGCTGCTGCCAGCATAATACAGCAACCTATTTTATAGTAAACTTTTGTTTTATAAATAGGAGTACATTCTCAAGGAATGATTAAAAGTTCAGTATAGTAATACATAAACAGTAACATTTTTCATTATCAAGTATTATGTACTCTACATAATTGTATTGCAATACTTTTGAAAGACTGGCAGCACAGTAGGTTTGTTTACACTACCATTCCCACAAACACGTAATAGGTTGTGCTATGATGTTATGATGGCAATGAGGTCACTAGGCAACAGAAATTTCTCAGCTCCATTATAATCTTATGGGACCACCCTCAGAATGTAGTTATGCATGCATGACAGTACTTGCCGTAGAACCACAAATAAAACTCCAAACTCAATTTCCAGGAGGGATAATGAGAACTACTAAGAAACTTCTCACAGATGGGGCACATCACCGAAGTCCAGGCAAACAGCATTCCCTTCAATACTACACAGTAATAACTTTTATTTAGGACTGGATATGTACTGAGAAACGCATAGTTAAGTGAGGTGTGAACACCACGGAGTATAGTTACACAAACCTAGAAGCTGTAGCCTACTACACACCTAGGCTATGTAATGTCAACAGTGGGATTCAGAGCCTAAGTCAAATAAGGTCCCAATAGACACTTTTCCATGTCTCTCGGTCACCATCTTGTCTTTTATTTCTCCTTCCCATCCTCTCACTCTATTT